TGCCTGGGGCTGAGGCTGCACTGCCCTTGGCTTGGGCAATGAAGACAGGTCCTGGCTTCAGCACGGTGGCCCTGGGGAGCCAGCAGGCTCCATCGTGCCATGGTGTCATGGCAGCTCTTCAGAGTGAGAAGAGCAGGTCTCAGTGGTGTCTGGAGACTGGTGCTTCGTAGGTGGTCCTTGGTACTGTTAGCCTACTTCACCAATTTGGTGAAGAAATATAACTGGTAAACAATTTACTATTTCTTCTTCTTGTTTGCATGCTTCCTTTTTTATTGTCTGGGCATCTCCAGATTTATGCCTTTTTTCTTTCTGAATGGTTTCCTTTTTTGTTATCTCTTTTTTGCCTGGTATTGAAGCATTTATTCCTGTTCTCTGTTTCTCTAACTTATCTTGTCATCTCCTAAGAAATCACCAGAGCTCCCCTTTTTGTCCTCCCTTCCTCTCTCTTGTTAAACCTTTTTTTTTTTTTATTTTGAGAAGTTAGCTTGCATGGGACGTTTTCTTAAAAGCACAAACCTTGCTGCATAGGGAATGCACGTGTCTCCTTTGCTGTGCCTGCCTCTCAGGAGTTAAGTGATCCAAAGAACTAAGTCACTTTTGATGTCTGCTCATTGTCAGTTCTTATTTGGTGCACAGTTTGTTCAGAGGAATTTAGATGGGAAAAGCCAGTGAACAAATGGATCACAACCGTGTTTGAAGGAGAAGTTGGATTAATATAAAAGGGAGTGTTTGCCAAAAGTTGCCCTTGAGGTGACAGTGGGTTTATCATTGTGATTTCTGTGATTTTGCTGTGCTGACTGTGCTCATGATAGCATGCAGACAGCTGGGGAGAGGCACTTCTCATCCAGCATGAAGTGGCTGTGAAAGTGATAAGCGGTGGTTTATACTGCGTGCTGAAAAATGGCCTTGACTAGGAGATTGAAAGGTGTTCTCATGATTCTGGCCATAGGCAAGCCCATTGCTGTGGTGCTGTTTTTACTTGTTTGTTACACTATCCAGTATTTATAAAAAATAAAGTGGTTATGCTATTTCACTCCTTTAATAACCTGTAACTACCTCTGTCCTAGGGTACATGTTTATTCTTACACACTAGTGCAGTAGGCAGCAATTTTAACATCTTCAGGTTCACTCTGGAATGAACTTGGCTGTTTGGAGAAGTTGCTGAAAGTGTTGGGAGATCATCATTCATGTGTGACAATTTGCAACCAAAAGTTGTTCTTTTTCAAGGAGGTATTGCAACATTATTTGTAAGGATTATTTTGAAAAGTGGGTTCTCTGCACTACCTGTTAGTGATGCTGCTCTGCTCCTGTAAATTTTTCTCTTCTAATAGGATATCCTCATCAGAGATGGAGACTCTTTGACTTTACCTTCTTGGTGAGGAACAGTCAGAGATGATAGAGACTGCTGCTAAACTTTGTTTTGTAAATGGTGTCTCTAAGACTAGCACTTAGCTTTGAAAGCTGTTTTGTGTAAGATGCCTCAAAGAAAATAATTTTAGATTAATAATTTTTTGTTTTCAGCATTTTGTTTTATTTGGTATGTCTGAGAAATCACTGCCTTGCAAAGCTGTAGTCCTCAGTAAAGTACACATTTTGGATAAACCTCCAGAAATTTTTCTCTCAAAGTTTAACTCTCTCCATCTTGAGAGTGGAAGGACCTGGCTAAGGATGGGGTATATGCTTGCCCAGTCCTCTTTAAAGTGGTCTTGGCTTCATTGTTGTCTGTCATGAATTTAGTTCAGTCTGGGAGTAAAGAGTTCTAGGGAAGCAGAATTCTCTCTCTGTCTGCCTGACCTCCAGTCAATAAAGATTTCTTGTCACTTTTTGTTAAGTATTCAGCCTTCTATCATTTAAGTCTTTCTCAAAATTGCTATTTCACTGTTAAGGTATTCTGTAATACAAAGTTGTTCCAAATACCATGCTGACAGTTGTGAACTGTGGCTCACCTCATTTTCACAAGCTCTTACAGCATGCTGGAATGTACTTCCAAATGTGCCAGAGACAAAAGACCCTGTGAATTGAAATAAGTTATATGGGCTTAAATTTAGACCTTAATATAACATTAGGGGGACTCTGGACAACAGATATGATGATCTAGAGTATGCAAAAGTCGTACAATCAGAGAATGGCTTGTGTTGGAAGGGACCTTAAAGGTCCAACCTGGCTTTGAATGCTTCCAGGGATGGGACATCCATAGTCCTAATAACATAAAAAGTGCATAATTTGAAAAACTACATAGCTTTCCTATGGCTACCAAATATTGCATAACCGCCCATCCCCTAAACACAAATGGTTTTCCACATTCATGTTTTCTCTAAAAATAGAGCTGCTTTGTTTCTTTTTTCTTTTTAGAAAGATGTGTGTGCATAGTTCCAAGAGTCTTTCCACTTTCATCAGTGTTGTGTGTTTTACCTCTACTTTGATATACTGTCACTTTCTTCCTTTCCTATAAATATGGATGTTTATATGAAAATATGTTTCACTCATTTTCAGGTGGCATTTTCGCATTCTTGATGATAACAAGATGGCAAGCTGTGATATATGTGTTCTTCTAGAGGCACGAAGAGTTTATAATGAGTCATTATTATAATTTGTGTGTGTGCCTTTGATGTTATTGTAGATTTCCAGGCAGATGTCCCACCCGCTGTGTGTTCCTAGTTTCAGTCTGATGAACTGCTAAAGCTACTGGACACTCAACAGTAGCTCCGGCATCCCACAATGCACTAGTAATAAGTTTTCTTCAAGATGAAGAGGCTTTTACTGCAACACACAATCAGTAGCCCACACTGAAAGAAACAAATCAGAAAACCGCTGTTCCATAAGCATAGAATTGAAAGAGATGCATAAGTAAAATGATAGACTATACATTCCAGTTTGGAAAGCATGAATAGGATTTTTGATGAAGCTTAATTTCCTTCAAGCTCTTCAGCCGTGGCTAAACCATTTAAAATAAAAATAGGTGTGTTAGGGAGAAGGGTGCTCATCACTGTTTATTATTTTGAAAAGGCACAGGTCCTCCTCTATCTGTTTGCTAATGACAAATGAGTTGAATTCTTCTCTCAATTTCAGCAGCACAGAAGTAGGCTAATTCTCCCAGCTGCTGTGACTTTGCTTCATATTTATGGCAGAAAATGGAAGGAAACATCTGGACCAGTGACTTTTAATGACTTGCAAATAAGAGAACATGTATTCTCTGACACATCACTGAGCTGTAGACTTTTAAATTGCTTGGTGTAACTCAAATAAGCCTCCAGTAGATAAAATGTTAATTGAAAAAGATGTATTTTACTGACCAGTGTCATGCATTACTATTGTTGTCAAATGAGTTTCCCAAGCATCCTGTACCTTTTGCAGTGACTTCAATCTGTTTCACCTTTTAACAGAATGCATCCTTGAATGATTGTATGGACTTCATCTAAATCCACTAAATCTTAGAGAACTTGCCCATTTCAAGAGACTTAAAAACAATGAAAAGAACCAACCCACAAACCCCAGTGCTTTCAAAGAGAACTTTCAGTCCAAGAACACTCACATCCCAGTAAGCTGAATTGTCTGGAGAAGTTCTTGACCAAAGGCAATGCTTTAATGCTGGATATTGTCTGCCTCAACTCTTGATGGGTCACTGTCTTGCCGTACAAATAGTCATGCTCACTTCAGTGAGACTTCTTAGGGGGCACTGCCCCAGTCAGCTCCATTGACATTGCAAGAATCTCACCTTTTATTATGACAAGCTCCTTGAGGAACATGCAAATCTGTGATGGATGTGCTAAAGAGCTGGAGTAGAAGAGGGATATGAACAGAAAAACACAGCTTTCCCTCTTCCTCCTGATTCTTTCTTTTCTTACACAATTATTCTTTGTGGTAATCAAAAGGATGGATGAGATCCTAAGTCAGCATCTTTTGAAAAAGCCTTAATGAGCTATAAGATTACTTACTTTCTTCTGTACTTCTAGCCATTTTGAGTGTAACACATATAGAGCAGAAGAGGTCATATAAGTCTCTGCTGCAGCACGCCTATGTTTTCAGCTAAGGCCTCTGCCTTTTCTTTTGCTGTGTTTTTTGAAGTGTAAAGATCATAGGTAGCTGGAAGAAGTGTTTTTGAACATATTTTCTAAAGAGCTGATCAAGTGGCCAGGCTGTTACTGAATGTTTTTGGAAACTGCTTTGTCTTTACAGTGGTACTTGGGGAATTACAATACATCACTTGTTAACCACTGTTGGTTTGTAGGTTTTCTTTGTTTTCTGTTATGGAAGTATCTGTATGAGAGAGCAAAGGGATACTACGTTACCCCAGTGTGGTCAGCCAAAGCCAAGGGAGAATGTATGATCGACATGAAAATATTTTGCCAAGAAGTAGCTTTATAGTCTCACATAGCCAAAGCACAGGTGCAACGAACAAATACGTTAAAAGAGCTGAAGAAGACAAATGGAAAAAAAAAAGTTACCTGTCTCAGGCTGCTGATTTATTTGGGGCAATAATTTTGCCAGCTCTAGCTTAGGTGGCAGTCACTGGAATAAACACTTAATTTGTAAGCAGGATTCTGTTTTAAAGGAAAATGCAGAATTTTTTGGAGGCTTGGAGATGTATTTATTTGTTTTTCATGCCAGTGTGCTAGACGAAAGATAAGGTAGGTGGCACTGGTTAATGCTAAAAGAAAATAAAAATGCCGACTAAATAAACATTTGCAAAACTCACAGCAGTAATACACCTCATTCAGCTACAGAGTTGAATATTGTTGAGGTAACAGTTGTTTCTGTCTGTACTGACATATTTTGGACCTAATTTTGATTCTGATGAGTTGTACTTAATCGTATGAAGCTGTGGCCAGAACTGAAGTCTCTTATTGTCAGTGGAAAGAATTCTGAGAAAGAGCCAGTAGGTTTTAGATCAGCCTTCTTTAAGAAGTTTATTTCAGTGGCACCACTTAGCAGAACAAGCTCTCAATTCATATCTGCAAGCACACAAAACCAAAGGTGTCTGTTCTCTTCACTTGTTTCAGTAGACACAAAGCTTGAGTGGGACTTCCTATCAAGTTATACTCTGAAGCATCAGCCATCTGAGCATTCCTTTTTCAAGTAAGTAATTCCTTTTGATCCTGAGGTCAGCTGTAAGGTTGCTCAAAGTGCAGTTAGTATTTTCAGAGCATTATGAATGCTGGAGATACTAAATAGATTCCTGTGGATCATGAGCGAGGGGTTTTGTTGTATCTCTCTTTATGGTTAGTCTGCCCACAATCCCAGTGTTTTCACCATAGATATAACTTTTGTGCAATGTCCTAAATGAAATTGTCTGGGATACCAAAATAGCCAACTTTATTTGAAATGAATTCTTACCACTTAAGTGCTGACAGTACTAAAGTGAAGTTACAGCATCACTAGTTAGCCATGATTGAATAGTATCAATCAGATTCAAATGGTAATATATTTTGTCCTCTTCTCCTCAGTGAAGCTTGACAATTCCTGTGAACTGGTGTAATAATATTTTTATTCTGTCTTTAGTATATAATAGTATAAGTGAGAAATGAACAGTTTATGGACTGTCCACTATCTCTCCAGAGTTTATATTGGAGATTTTAAATTTTTCACCTGGGGCAAAAGGGTTTATGTGCTTTCAGAGTGACCATAGCAAATATAGAGGAAGAGCAGTATTGCACACATTTTCCTTGTACTTCTTCTAGGGTGAGTGAAATGCAAAAGCTCATCTGGTCTTGTAAGTGGAAGTCCCTCAGAATGAATAATCAGACCTCGGGAGTTTATGCTTTCTTTTGCTGCCTGTGTCAACCTAACAGAGTCGTATTATTTGCTTTTGCATTCAAAAGAGAGTTTTTATTAAAGAGGAGCAATGCGTTTAGTAAATTTGCAAGACATCTTGCCACTTTGTCTTCTGCCTGGTTTTCTTTGTTTGTGTTTTTTTGTTGTTGTTATTGTGGGTGGGTTTTGTTGTTTTGTTTTCCAGAAAATTTTAAAGAAGGGTAAAAACAGGGCCTTGACTAGCTTCTCTAAAAGCTTCTTGTTCTATATTAGAATCAGTCCTAACCTGTGTGTGTTAAATGTTAGACTAATATTTGTATAAGGTGACTCTCAACAGCAGATATGATTCTATATTGATATCTATAATTTGCCTTACTGTGTTGTGATATGATTCAATAGGAGTCAGAAACTGGAGGAGTTTTTTAAATAATTGAAAATTTCACAGAAAAAAATATTAAATGGTCAGACTGTGGAATAGGTCTTTGAGTTCATTAGCTCTGAACCAGCTTACATACCTGCAAATATTTTTGGAGGAACAAAACCTGTTCCATTTCTTAACTTTCTCCTTTTCACAGAGATTACAAATCAAACTGTAATTCTTCCAATCGTCATGGTTTAGGCGTAATTTTTTATTCTGCTTGCAGCGTTACCTAGCAAGTTCAAGTAAATGCAATACAGTGCTTGTGTCTAGGGTATGGATGTGCTTTTACAGAGGTGTCTGTTGTCTGCCTGGCCCAGGACACTGAGGTCCTCTCTCATTTGGCACAACACTTTGCCAGTGCTACGATCCTGCTGGTTCACTGGAGGGAACAGATATTTTTATACTTCAAATTTACTTCCTTTGAATTTAGAAAAAAGAAAATAGAAGTAGTAATGAATGTTTAAACTGTTTAAAATATAAAGGGTTCAGTTAAGTGTGGAAAAAACCCTTTCTAAATAGAAAGTATAAATTCACATATTGATTGTTTTTAGATATGTTGCAGAAAGGATGGGTCTGGAATTTCCCCAAAGATCTTATACATGAATGAAGTTACAAAAAAAACCCAAATCAGTCAACCAAAAAAAAACCAACCACAAAAAATCCAAGTCAAGAACAAAAAAAACCAAACCAAAACAAAGACTGAAACAACTAAACCAATAGCAGAAATCAGTAAAACTCATTATTCTGAGATCAAAATTTTTTTAGCTTTTGAAAAAATTCTGCATGTCTATAACTATGTAAGTTTTATTAAAATTTCAGCATCCTTTCAATTTGCCTTAATGTCAAAATAAATTCTGAACAGAATACTCCCTGTTAATTGCTGTGTGGTCTTTGATCAGCAAGATTATTTTCATTTTCCCATTACTCTTGCAGTGTTTTACAGTAAAACATGCCAGGGGCTGGATGTATAAGTGGGGTAGGTTTTTCATTTTGTAACAGAGATGATATTGATAGTACTCATTCTAGCTTCTCCCCTCATACCTGCTCAGAGGTAAAAAGTGAAGGCTTCAAGATGTCCAAAGGGCATGTGACCTGCTAGACTACATAATGTTTTGATAAGTAATCACAGTACTGTTTGCACTTCAATTAGATTAACAGCTGAACTTGCAAATCATGTCTCTGGAGGGTGTTTTTTGATAGCTAACTAATTGGTAGTTGTCTGAAGTAAATTGCTTGATATTGGTCAATGGTAAATTGTGATCACGTTAATTTAATTGCAGCTCTGCCAATGCTATAATTAATGCTGCTATCAAAGCAGTCAATCAGTTCATTGGAAAAAGAAGGCAACACTATGATATTAAATTCCCAGGTGCCATGACACAGAATGTGATTCTGCATAATAATAATAATGTTGGCTCTGTTCACTGTGAGCTAAAGCCATTGTTTTCAGTGGAAATGGATGCAATGGTGTTGTGCATTATTACAAATATTGCCAGCAAATTGCCCCAGAAAGACTTCTGTCACTCTAAGAAAATAAGTTATTTTCCTAGCTGTCTGGGAAAAGATGTGACCAGGAGCTGTGTTTTATGATCAGTTATGATTGACAGAGATACCGCTGTGGACATTGCCTGGAAATGACTGGGTTTTGCTGCGGAACACACACAGAAGCAGATCACAGAATCACAGAATGGCTAAGGTTGGAAGGGACCTCTCGGAATCACCTAGTTCAACCTTTCTGTTTAAGCTGTGTTCCCTAGAGCATGTTACTCAGGGTTGCTGGGACAGGACTCAGAAAATCCCATTATCAACCCTTTCCCATATTTATATTTTCTGTTCTCACTTTTGGGAGTCATTTACAGGGGCTAATGACATGGACTCTGTCCCACATGCACCTTCTTTTCTTCAGATGTGTTCCTCAGGCATAAAGTGGCCCTCTTCTTTCCTCTTATGCCTAGCACATGCCTGCTTCCATTTTTCAAAAGTATGTCTTGCCATCACTGGAACCCAGGGCCTTTGAAGTAATTGTTTTGGTTTTGTTCTGGTTGAGTAGGAGTAGGACTCTGTGCCTTTTTATCTCCAGCAGTTTGGTTCAGCAGTTGTCAAGCAGTGTTACGAAGAAACTACCCTGAGTCTCTGGCACTCCTGGGTTCATTGTATGCCTCTACAGCAGCAAAATTCTGCAATAAAGATTGTCTAAGCAGGTGACTTATAATTTTTTTCTGTATTTGAGGTATACTCCAGTGAGTTGTAGGTGTCAAGAAGAGTTGGAAAGTAAAGGGTTATTGCATTCTGGCAATCTCCACTTGCCAAATTGTTGTGCTGGACCTTATTGTGGCTGACACAATTTAGAACAGCCCAGAAAATATGTAGGCAGCTCCTTAGGACTTGAGTACCTAAGTCACCTGCAGAAGTTACTTTCTAGAGCCTCTTTGCCCCCCTTCTTACTTGTGATGTGCTTCATGTCCAAAGAGGGAAATTTTAGAGGAAGATCATAGTGTGGTATGGAAGACCATATTGTCTTGACTATAGAGACAAGCTATGCTGTTGAGTGATTACAGCTGTTTGTTATAGCGAACTCACCTACTCATTGTGTGCTCCCCTCCCCAATTGCTTTGCATTGTTTCTGATAATAAACACTTTAAAGTGAACTAGGGTGTTGCAGGAGGCAGGACTAGTTAGCCTCTTATTCTTAGGCATGATGTCCTGTCTGTTCTTTCCACATACAGAAAGTACCCACATGCACAAACATATGTAAGTGCTTATGGATAATTAAGATTTTCTAAATTTGGCTATTTTAAAAAAATCTAGGGTTTTTTTTTCCAGTTCTATTTTTTATGTGATGAAATAAAATGAGATCTATAAACTGCCTCCTCCGACATCTAGTATGCTGCAGTCAACAGGCTGGTATTGTTGGGTATTTATAAAAGGCAGTTTCAGAGCTGGCTACTCTAAGAGGCCAGGCTCTGCAAACCTACTTGAAACAGGACTCTAATACCTCCGGGTGCAAAATACCAGTAGATATTCCAGATTTTCTTCTAGTTACTAAATACAATCAAAGGATATAAACTTTGTAGCTGTAACTTGAATTTCAGCTTTATTTCGTAAGAATATTTTGTGAAGAAAATAGGAAAGACTTTTCTTTCTTATTTTTTCTTTTTTTTTTGTGATTTTTTTTTGACTCATTGAAACTGGTAAGCTGATTTACTATGGCAAGAGATGAAAAATGGTCACACAAAAATCTCATATTTGAAATGTAAATATATAAAAATAAGACATATAATATTTTCTGTCATCTTATGCCATGAATTTATTTGCAGAAGTGATGACTAAACTAGGTTTGTACTCTTATAAACTAAAAAGGTAGTAATTCGTATTTGAAACACTAAATGGAAGTGATGATTTGAAAGGAAACTGACTTTGGGAAATATTGTTATCACCTAGAGTAAAGCAGTAACACAGAAACTGGATTTTCATTGGTAAGAGTGCTGATACTTGAAAAATAAGGTAATACAAATGTGTTTTAGGAGAAGGGGAGTGCATTTGTACTGGTACTTGTTCTTGTCAATTACCTTTTATCCCAATATAAAGTTCAGAATAATATGAACATTTATGTTTCCTTTAAGAGAAAATTAGAGCAACAGCATTTCTTAATGAGAAGCATTCATGTTATCTCTTTCCTAAATAAATTCTCAATTCACACAAAAGAAATACAAAGCAAGCTGTTTTGTAGTGTTTTAACACAAATGGTAACAGATAAGAGCATTTTGAAAGATAAGAGTAAGGTGAAGATTAATAAATCAGCCAAGATGCTGCATGTAGTAGCTTTATAATTGTAAGCAGCAAGATTTAAATAACCAGATTTCTCTTCTCTATAAAGACTTTGATATTAACTCACTTTCACCTT